GATTTCATTTCCGAGTTTTGGTTCATCATGTGGTTGTTCTTCCAAAACAGGATATGCCCGTAACAAACTAGGTGGTGGTTGGTAGCTGTTCTTTCTCATGTTTACCATGTTGATCGTGGGATAAATAATTTTCCCCATAAACAGCGCCAATGTTCTGTCTAGATGACAGAGATGTCTAGTTCAAGACCAGTGAGTTTATATTGGATCAGATGTTCTCTCTTAGATATTTAATGATGAGATATGTTTGAGATTACTGATCATTGTATACAATAGAGATGACGTTTGCCAAATAGGTGATGTGTGTGCACGATGACAACATAACAGTAATGGATATAGAGATTTTTTATACTTATAGACTTTACCTGTGGATAGTAAAATTCTGGGCATTTAATAGTCTGTTGGTCCAATATACCACTATATTGTGTTGCGAAATCGGCAAGTATACCGTTCGTTTCAAGTAATAAAAATGATAAGTAAGATATCGTTCCCTCGAGGATAAATGCACAAAGTATTAATTTAACTATTCCCCTTAAGTTGGAAAAGAAAATTGGTTTGATTGTGAAAGTGATTGATTGTTATAATTTTTAAAACAGAATTTTAAAAGAAATTAAATTCAAACGCATGCAAGAATATCAAGAATGACAAGAAAATATAAGATTGAGTAAAAATTGTAAAAGACTGTAGCCAGGATGCACTTCACCTTCGATCCTCCCTTATATTCCTATATTGTATTTTATAATTAACTAATTGATTTGCTCAAACGATTCATTATTTTCCTATAAAATAGTCGAACACTAATGTCTTAGTGATTTCAACCCTTTAACCCAATTACAATCCTAGTGTCCTAGTAATCTCTCTTGAATTAAGCATTAAGCAAATGAATTAAAAGTCTGCAATCTATGTAAGCCTAGTCTAGGTCATGCACAAATTGTTATTCTACTCTTGTCCAGATTAAAACCCCAATATGTCTATTGTGAACCATAACCTTCAAAGTCCTATAATTAGAGTGATCAGTTCTAATAAGGATATGAAAAATTAACACAGGCAGAATAAAAAAAACTAAACTAATTAAATTATAAAAATAATATAGAAAATATAAAGGATTCACATTGTGTCCGTGATCCAAACTACAAAAAGAAATTAGCCAGACATATTCATGTCTGACTTAACAAATTAAAATAGTAAAAATTGTTCATAACAAAGAAAGAAAAGAAAAAAGATGAAGAAGAAAGATCAATGGTCTTCAATCTTCAAGTTCTCCGGAATCCTGATCTCCAGCGTGAGTCTCCTCCTCTGAATATTGTTGCCTCTGTCGAATTGTCTTCAATGGAATCTTCACTATAATCTCTAATCATATCTTTGACCCAATCTTTCAAATCTTTTTTTTTTTAATTTAAGGAAAAACTTTCCTTAAAAATATTCAAAGTAAGATTTGATAAGATCTTCAATGATTTAGAAATCCAAAGCAACTCTACTTGATATCTCCAATTTATCTCTTTATTGAGCTGAAATTACTGTAAAATATCAGAAATCTTATGAGAATATTATTGAAAATAAAATAATAATTTAATTATAATTATCATAACTTTTAATTACTTTTAAATCAATTCTATGCTCATATTGATCTTTAATACATAGTAAAATGAAGACTCATCATATTGCTATTATGATATAATTGTCGTTAATAAAAGGATTCTCTTATAATTTGTATGATTATCTTATCGCCTTTTATTGGGTCTTCAAATATATGAGCTTTGCCTCAAAGAAGTAATTAAGATAAGTTTCCAAATATATATATATATATATATATATATATATATATATATATATATATATATATATATATATATAGCTTTGTATAGATCCATAAAAAAAAAGTACATAATTCATTGATAACATATATTTATATAGTATGTGACGAATTTAAGCCAAAATAAAATTATATCTAAAGAAAATCAAATATATCTTGTTAATCAAGTTTCAACGACGACTAAAGTCAAATTCATTTACCCAATATGCATGAGAATATCCGCGTTATATAAAATAAAAGAAAAAGAATGCTCGCGTTTTGTGTTCCATCATTCCATGTCCCACACGCATTCGACGTGCTAGAAATAAACATCATTCCGTTGACAACAAGATTTCTTCTAATTATTTATTGGGGTTAACGTAAATAATTTTATTATATATATATAAGAAAAACATCTATCCTTTTAAATCATATAAACTTATATCATATATATATATATATATATATATATATATATATATATATATATATATATGAAAATGATTCGTTTATAATTTTTTTTTACAAATTTCGTTTAATTATTGAATGTTTAATAAACTTAAATAGGCTAACATATCAGACCAAACTCAATAATTTTTACACAAACTTAATCTATTTAACTCAAAACCTAATCTATCTTAATCTATTTACACCCCTAAATCTACATGAATCTTATATACTTATATATATATATATATATATATATATATATATATATATATATATATATATATATGAAATAATTTTATTTTCTATAACATAAAAAAATATTAATCCCTTATTTATTTTGACTATTACAATAGACATTCATATTTCAAAATTGTACCACCACCGGCTAAAGTTTTAATCCATCTACTATCTAACAATGTCAGCTGGATCCCAATAACCAGAATGGTCCACAAATTGATTTCACATGGCATGTAGCGAGATTAGTCTTCCCGTTGCTACAGTGTTCCACCATAACACGGACTCTTTGTCCCAATTTTCTCTTTCATATTTTTCGCTTTAAATATTAATTAACATCGTACAAAATAATTAAGATTGTAAATGAAGTAAATATTTTTAATATATAAATAGGCTCTAAATTCATTTAGTGAAATAATATTTAAAATGATAAATAATTTTCATTTAATTTTCTGGATATTTTAAGAATTCTTGTGAATTTAAAAATGCTAATTTATTATCAAATATTTTAATTCTTGAAATAAAAAAAATAAACTCAATTATTTTCAAATGAGAAAGTATTTTAAAAAATCACACCATTGTTATCAAAAATAAAAATAAAAATCACACCATAAAATAAGAATAATTTACGATATTAAATATTATTTTACTAAATAAATTTAAGGCCAATTTTAAAAGAAAGTAATAATTACATTATTTATTATCTTAATTATTGAAATACTAATTATTGAAATTTTCGAATATTTGAATTCTTTAAAAGAAAAGGTAAAGAAAAAAATCAATATTAAATTATTATTATTATTAATAAATTTAATAAATTTTAATTCAATGTACTTGTGAAGCAAAGAAATAATTATGTCAAATATATTAAAATTATTTATGATGTTAATTATTATTAATTGAATAAATTTAATATTAAATTTAAAAATTATAATTGTTACTATATATCATATTTTAATTATTACTTACGATATTAATTAATATTTAAAGTATAAGAATTTAAGAGTGAGTACTTTGGGACGGAGTCATAAATACTGTATTAAATAATATAATTATTATTATTTAGTAAATTTAAATTAACTTTTTTAGTAAAATAATAATTAAGAAAATAAAAAATTATGTTTTTCTGACATGAATTTTTAGAATCCTATAAATTTTAAAATATAGAATTTAATGTTAATAATGATAATTTTAATCATCTATTTTTTTTTTCTATTCGTCTAAAAAATTTAAATATTTAATAAAGTCTAAAAATTTCAAATTTTTATCTATTCAAACGAAACTTCCCCAAATTGCTCACATTTCATATCTTTTGAAGATAAAACAACATCAGTATGCATTCATTAATGAAAAAAAAAAATCAGAATCATAACTCAAGAATAATAATGTTTCAAGAATAATTCTAACGTTTAAGCAACTGCAAATTATGTGCGGTATCACTTACCCAACTTAAATAATTTTAAATATTTGAATTCTTTGAACAAAAATGAAAAAAATGAACTTGTTATTTTGACAATAAATTTGATATTTTTAAATTATTTAATTTTTATGTTAGATGAATGAGAATTATTTACAATAATAATAATTATTTGACTAACAAATATAATGCAAATTTCTCAAATAATAATTATTATGTTGTTTACTATATTAAATAATATATATTAATTATTGTCATTTTTTTCATACATAATTATTATCATTTTAAGTTCTAAATATTTAATTTTCTCAAATAAATAAATAAAAAATTAACTTTTGAAAAGACGTTGATAAACAAATGAGAATTACATTGGCCAAGGAGACTTTAAAGAACACCCAAGTGAGTCACACCATGTTGTCGCTAGTGACTGATTTGAGTTAAATTAAGAAATAATTATCACGAAGTACTATTTCAACAATTTTATTTTATTTTTTTAAAAAGGAGTATAGTATAATTCTTGGGGAGGGGGCTGAACCTTTAGCCATCACTGATCCCCGCACTCCGGATTAGTCTCATAGCCGGCTCAAAGAGTTGAAGCTTACGAAAATACCAGAGGGAGCCAACTTGTCTCAAAAATGTAATTAAGGTTGGGTAACTAAAAAAAAAAAAAAAGGTACAATGTTGAAACTTGAAAGAGTTTTTTTGTTGGATTATACTGTCTTTTCATGTTTTCTGACAAGAACAACAGATTCTGTGTTCCCACTTCAAAATAGCCAAAAAAGAGAATAATAAAAAAACAAAGGACATAAAAGGAATCATTTGGGAACAGATTTTCTATGAACAGATTTCCTTCTCCAAATCACAAATCAAGTAGGAATAATTAATTCGCTTTTTAAATAATATAATTTGTGTTATTATAATCTCATAAAAAAGTGATATTCATTTTTTTATTTTTTTATCCACTTTCTTTTTTACATAATTTATTTTTTTATCTTAGAATGACATAATTTAAAATGACACAATTTTATATCTTTTAAAATAACACACGTCTTTTCCGATGCCAATATATATGTGATATGTATTAATACTACCAGTCCTTACCATTGTGTAAATAAGATTATTTGTTGATTCAAAAGTTTCAAAGTCCAAATCTTTATTCTCTTTGCCTGAAACTAGCATGAAGCACCAAACCAGGCTCAAAGTCTTCCTCCCAAATTTGCTAATACTAGTAACCATCCTACTCCATTCAACAATATGGACTGGGGCACAGGAAGTTGGTAAGTGGAGTCAAGTCTCTTTCGTTCTTGGAGTATTTTCATGCTTTGTGATTTAGTTTGAATCATTTGATGTGTGTGCAGTACGTGCTGTGATGCTAATCATCCACATGTGTTTGTGCAGAGGACGAGCATGAGTTTGATTACATAAAAGGGAGCAAAAAGGGTCCCTCACACTGGGGCGAACTGAAGAAGGAATGGGCAGCGTGTAAAAATGGTGCTATGCAATCTCCAATTGATTTGTCAAGCCATAGAGTGAGAGTGGTTCCTAAATTAGGAGAGCTAAAGAAGAGTTATAAGCCTCAGAATGCCACTCTCAAGAACAGAGGCCATGATATTCAGGTAATCAATCAACAAAATTAGAAAATCATTGATCACAATTTTACTTAAAGCAGCATCGATCATTCATTCTTTTTTCTGGATCTGAACAATGTCTTCTTAATTGAAAATTCCTGAAAGCCTCAAAAACAGGATTTTTGACAATAATGGTGAGGGAGAGAAAATATTTTTCCGTTGATTCAAGCCGCGCACGAAAGTGATGCATGATTGGTGTAATTTGTGGCAAGTGTTCAGTGATGCATGATTGGTGCAATTTGTGGCAAGTGTGTATTCATTTTTATTTAAGTGATGCATTATTCCATATGAGTTTTATTATATTATTTTAAGGGTTTTCGTTTTATCCTTAAACATAACACAACAAACTTTCCTACACTCACAACATTTTGTGGGGCCCACACTTTTTAAAATAAAAAAGTAAATAAAAAATTAAGGCACGCAAAACGAATCTCTATAACATTACAGAATCACTTTTCCTACAGATAACTCTTATAAAACCCTTATTTTAATGAAATATTTAAATTTTGAATCAATCCAATAAAATATTTGCTTTCTCGTGTTAAATGTGTCAAAGACTCAAAAGTCTCTAAAAAAACATTAATGCTTGAAAAATTTTAATTTTACTCCTGTGTGCCTGAAAAAAGAAAAAAAAACTTAGAGCCTATTTAACTGTGTTCTGATTTTTTTTTCTTCATAAAACTGTTTTATAAAATAGTTATGAAAATATGTGTATTTAATGTACCAAAAAAAAAAAATATGTGTATTTTTTATTTTATTTTATTTTTGAAAGTTAAAAACTTAAACAGAAAATAGAAACAATACAACATGTTCTCTAAATTTAATTTTAAAAACAAAAAAATAGTTAAATTTTTTTTATAAAAATTCCAAAACAGATCTTATCAAATGGATTTTTTTGTATTTTTTTTTTTCTGAAAATCAAAAAACTATTTTAAAAAACAATAATCAAACAGCCCTAATGTATGTGGTTGTGGTTGTGGTTGTGCGAGGTATGTGGTTGTGGGATGATGCTTCCAGAATTCCAATAATGCACCCTGTCTGATCCTATACACATAAATCAAACATATTTTAAATTAACGGATGATGATGTTTTGCTATCTATCATTTCACACGAAACTAGACAATTTTTAGGACATTTATTTTCTTTATTGTAAGACCGTACAATGCCAACGTTTCTGGACAATTAACTTAGTTGTTGTTTATATCTTAGCTAGCTGTCAGTAGCACTTGGCGAACGTGGTTTTGTCCGGTTTAAGCTATAACACAAGATATCTATTATTTTGATTTGGTTCTTAGTAAATCACCACAGCATAGATATGATATTGGTTGGTCACATAATCTTTGATTAAAATCTGAATTCTCTTACAAATGCACCAATGGGTACAGCTGAAATGGGAGGGAGAAGCAGGATCAATAAAAATCAACGGCACCGAGTTCTTTCTACATCAATGCCACTGGCACTCACCTTCCGAACACACCATCAATGGCAGGAGGTTTGTCTTGCTTCACAATCTTTTTCTTGTTATATCAATTTTCATCCAAAGAGTGAATAGCTTTTGTTTTCTATAGTGGGGTCTCAGTATTTTAAATGTAAAATTTACTGCACATATTTTATTCGAAATTACACAAGAATACTTCTTGCTGATGATATACAATCAATATCATATTATTGGTGTACCAAAAAAATATTTTTAATGGATGGAGAAAAGTTGAAACTTTCTTTTTTTATCTGGAATATTAGGTATGACCTGGAGCTTCACATGGTTCATGAAAGCCTAAACACAAAGGGTAAGAACAAGGTTGCAGTTGTTGGACTTTTTTATAATATTGGTGCGCCCGATCCTCTTCTCTCCAAGGTAGTTCAAATTCATTTTATTTAGTGGTTCTCACATGAGATTAAGTAACGTGCGCTGTAACTTAAAAACAACAATTTTTTTTTGGGATTTGGGGAAATAAATAAGGGAACAAATTTTATCATAAAAAATGAGTGAAATCCACTTGTTTTCTTAATGGGTCATATACCCATTTTTAATGTGTTACATAACAAATTATATTCCCAATATATAATGGCTTTTAGAAAAAAATTATATTACAAAAGATAATAAATTTTTTAAAATGCCAATGTATTGTTTTCCAAACACTCAAAGGGAGGATTACAAAAGATAATTATATCTTACGTAACAGGAGAAATGACGAGCTTAATTAAAATATTTATTTATCTGAATAAGTATGCTTGAAATGATTTCAGTTGTCAAAGTACATAAAATCCATGGTGGATGAAGAAGCAGAAAGGAGCATTGGGATCATTGATCCCTCAGAAATCAAGCTGGGTGGCAAGAAGTACTACAGATACATGGGCTCCCTCACTGTCCCTCCTTGCACTGAAGGTGTCATTTGGACCATTAATAAAAAGGTGCTATTCATTAAAACCTAATCTTTAAATCTCCCATGTCACCCATTTTGTTCTGTGTGGGAAAAGAAAAAATATTTTTAAAAAGAAGAAAAAATAATATTTTTAAAATTTCTTCCTAAATTTTTCTTTACATATGACAATCAGAATTATATATTTAATTGAACCGTTGAAATTGTCTGATCATCAGATAAGAAGTGTGTCAAGGGCGCAAGTCAAGTTACTAAGAGAGGCCGTACAAGATGTAAGTATTCAAGTTTGATCTACCGCTCTAATAGTGCACTATCAAAATATAAATATAAATATAAATTAAATTATTATCATTGAGCAAATTCTTTTTGATTAAAAAAATGGGGGAGCCAACCATCTCCTTTTTTTTTTTTTTTTTTAATTATTGCTTATGAATGATTCACTCTATGGCAGCATGCAGAGAGGAATGCCAGACCTGTGCAACCCCTGAATAGGCGAGGGATACAACTCTATAGTCCTAAACGGAAGGAATAAATTAACTACATAATTTTCGGAGCAATACATTTCTTTATTTTGATTTAAAATAAATTCTTTGACTACTATTTGCTCCTATAGTGCTATTAATGTTTCTAGGATTTTGGTTTTTATCCAACCCCACCCAAATTATATGGTATACTCGTGGTAAAAGACACTTAATTGGTTCTAAAGCTGTCTCTTGCATATTTATATATTACTTATTCTCTCCAAGTGGTTCAAAAAAAAAAAAGCAATTTGGTTTCTTGCTTGTTTTCAAAGACGAGGAAATTAAGAAGCAGAGTTCTGAATTACTAGAAAAAAAGTTGTCTCTCTTTTTACATTATATCTAACTCCACTAAAAGCTCGTGCTTATAAGGTAATTTATATATACGAAAGTCAAGCAAATGCTTTTAGATTTAAAGTTGAAATGGAATATATGATTATAAAATACCTAATAAATTTTAGAGTAAATACTCTTTTTGGTCATCAGCAAATTTTACGATGCCCGTTTTAGTCCCTAGCAAATAAAAAGGCCCATCGTGGTCCCTAAGAAATATAAAATGAACCCGTTTTAGTCCTTTTGAGGACTAATATCGGCCTTTTTTAAAATTGTGAGGGATCATAATTTTAACTAAATTGGTTCATTTTGAATTTCTTAGGGACCACAATGGGCCTTTTTATTTGCTAGGGACTAAATCGGGCATCATAAAATTTGTTGAGGACCAAAAAGAGTATTTACTCTAAATTTTATGTTACGTAGAATTACATATGTATTGATCATAATAGTATTGATCTCAAATTAATTGTAAAGTAAATTTTAATAGGTAGCTCTCCTAATTAAAAATGAAGAGAGAGAAAGAGAGATGAACTAGTAGCACATGATTTATATATATTTGGAAAGAAAGGATAAAATACAGAACTAGCTACTCATCAATGGATATTCCCAAAAGATCATTCAAAACAAGCTTTCTACAACCTACAAGCACTAAGTCATGAACGTGTAACTCGCAGTCTTGCTCCACAACATGTGATGCCAGTCAATCAGAGACAGCATTACCCTCCCTGGGCACATGAGACATAGTAACAGACCACTGTCTGTCAAGAATAAGTTTAATTCTCCTCACCAACGGGAAGTAAGGGTGGTTATGAGAGATGTCTGCGCTGATCAATTTTGAGGCAACGGTAGAGCTTCCCTTTAGGCACACTTCTTATAGAAAAAAAATATAAACCATTAAAAAGGCCGTCACATAATACTTTAAGAATTTGGGTTGAAATAGTTCTTTATATGGTATTAGAGCTTCAGTGACACGAGTTCGATCATCACCGCCGTCTACTTGGGGAATTAAATAAGTATAAGGTAAATCAAAAAGAAAACAAAAAATTAAGCATGTGCAATATCCACACTTTAAGCCCTAAGGGCTCATGCGTAAGGGTGTGTGTTAGAGAAAACAAAATATAAATCATTAAAAAGGTCCTCACTTAACATCTTAAAATTTTGGGTTAAAATGGTTTGCTTAGACCCTCTATCCCAAACAAGAGATAGGCATGTAACCATGCCCCCTAGCTTAGCCATAATCGCGCAACCAACTCCAAGCTTTCCGTGAAAACCCAGTAACCACCTACCCCTCTCATCTCGAATGACTCCTCCACAACTAGTTAAGAGATTCCAATCCATTTGAATTCACCTTTACTTATTTGGACAACAACACCGAATGTAAGTCTCCAACCTTGAGTTAGGACCTAAACCAAAAGTTGTAAGACTAAATCCACATCACTACAAAAGCTTTGGATGCAATCACGAGAAGTACTATACCTATTGTACAAGTAATAAAGTGATAAATAAGATATCATTTTCACGAAAATTGATCTATCAAGCAATAATTTATCACGCTATCAAAGTTGGATCGACCGTAAGGGTTTTTGTGATTATTATTCAAATATAAAAACGAAAATTAAACTACCAAACTGAATATCAAGATCAAGAATCAAGAACTCAGTATAAAGAACGAATTAAAACTAATAATGTAAAGCATAACTAGGGTGTTGATTTTCCCATTGTTAGTTAGTATGTAGGTGTTATAACAATCCTCGTTAAGAAATCTAGAAATTATATAGAGATAATAAGGGTGATTAGTGGCTTATGCCAATTTTAAAGTAAGTAAGCTTTTGATGTAAATTTTGTTGAGCAAATGAATGAATTGACATGCTAAAATTTGTGATAATACAATTCAAGTCAAATAAGGTAAATTAGACTCAAATGAGAGTATTGATAAAGTCTAGGGGCCAAAATATAAATAGGTGAAAGTTTAGGGACTATATTGCTAATAAGCAAAGTAATTGCCTAAACTTGAATTTGATTGTTTAATTAAATTCTTCATGCAATTTTAAAGACTAGAAGTGGTCTTAGATTGATATAATTATGTTTGGATTAATTTATAAAATTAGGTCAAAGCATAATTAAATAAAAGTCAAATGTATGTTTAATTGCTTGGAAAATCAAATTATGTAGGAAAAGTTGACTAGGTTGATAACTTAGTCTTATTTTCTATTAAATGGTTGATTGAATGCTTTCTTTAAAGCCATGATACATCTTAAATTATATGTTTAAAGATGGACCAATCATATTAATTTAAGAGAAAAGTGTCTATTATTTTGAAGGACACAAAGTTGTGTTTGAGAGAAAGATAAATCATGGGGGGAGAGAATGGATGAAAAAAGTTTTAAAGAGATGAGTCCCACCTATTTGTTAGACTGAAAGGATATAAAGTGTGTCATTTAAAATGACACACCTTTTTTCGTTAATTTAAAGGGTGGACTAAGTCAAATTGAAAGAAAAGTTAGTGAACTTGTAGTCAAACTAACTTGTTGAATTTCCTAAATGTATGTTAATTTCTTTTCTCCTTCATATGTTCCACGAAATTCTTCCTCTTTATGTCATGTTTGTTGCTGAATATAAGTGTGAAAAAGGAACCAATAGGATTTAAGATGAAGGTTGCAAAGTCAACAATTGTAGGCTAGTTGGAAAAGCGAAAAACTAAGCCATTTTGTGATATTTTAAGGTATAGGTCTGTTCCTTCCTCTTTAATTTGGAAAGCTGAATACATCAATAAATGAGAGGGATTATGTAACACTCTGGGTATTCTCGATTTTTTAATATCAGAATGGTATTAAGCGCAGCTAATTATTCTTATATATACGAAAGCTAATCAAATTAATTTCTAATTAAACTCATGTAAAAACGTGAATAAACTTTTTTCATTCTTCATTAAGTTGTAATAATTACTTGATGTCAAGTTAATTGCATATTATACTTGATTTATTCAACTTTCTTACATACAATTTATATATATGCTTACTCCATTATGCCTACTTCATTCTTCACATTTACACACGTCAAATTAAAGCCTTACAATTCTTTTTAACATACATATTTTCTCTACATAAATTCCTTTATGTTTAGTTAATAGGATTGATCCTTATAAACCTTAATCACTCACTCAAAACATACATTTCTTGTATCCAAGTTATCATCTTACTTACATCCTTGGCCTCTAGCAATCCGTTACTTAGGCCATCTCACATATAAATCATATTACACAATAATAACTAACATGATTAATCATCTCATTACTTCATATGACCAACTACAAATACTCAATAGCATAACTTATACATGTTCTCTAATCAAAATAACATGCTTGATCAAGAAGGCATAGACAACCCCTATGCTCTTCACAAATACAAACATAACATAACATATCAAATGGAAATCATAGCTATGCATGTCTCATATCATGTTATAATCTCAATGCCTAGTATCTTGCATTGTCGATTTCTCCTCGTCAGTCATGAAAACAGGGGGGAGGGTTCATCAAGCATACAAAATAGTGCAATTAAAATTATAACCCAAGATTGGACAAGAAGGAGATTAGACCACATACCTTGCACCTTCGTGAGAGATAAAAAGTCAAAAATGAGATAAAGGTGCAAATGAGGATGCCTTTGGTGTCATAGGAACAGAAAAGAAATGAAATCTTCCAATCCCTAATAATGTGTGCAAACGTGAGTGAAGGGGAAGAGGATATGAGTATGGGAATAGGTGTGGTTGAGTGTAACTAGGGTTGGCAAAAATGAGCCGAATCCGTCGGGTTGGCTCGTAACCCGCCAAAAATGAGCCGGGTTGGGTTAAAAAAATGAGCTGCCAACCCGAGTCAACCCGACCCGAGCCAACTCGTGAAAAAACGAGCCAACCCGTAGGTAAAATGAGCCAGCTCGCGGGTTGATTTTTTTTAATAAAAAAATACAAAATATAATATACAAAAATGGACAAAACTCACACATGTTGTCATCATATTTCTTCCTTCTCTAAACCTAAGTCCCTAATCTTCTCATATCCCTGTCATTTTTATATTGTTAGGCTGCACTGGCTCTGTTTGGTTCAAATATCTTACCCACTTGGTAGCAAGTGATTCTGATTGTTTCTTGATGGTGATGCAAATTTGTTGTGAAGAAAAATCGAAACTAAAATATTTTGCTTTTATTTCTCATTTTGTAACCCTTTGTTTAAACTAATGGAAGCCACATAGTTGGTGTATTAATACTACAGGGTCATTTAAATAGGCTGAAAATAAATCAACTCGCGAACAATTTTTGAGCCAACCCGCGAGCCAATTTTTGTGCCAACTCGCGAGCTATTTTTTCAAGCCAACCCACGAGCCGTATTTTTGAGCCAACTTGCGAGCCAACCCTAACCCGACTCGGGTCGGGTTGGGTTTTCTGTCTTATTTTTTTTCGAGCTAACCCTAACCCGACTCGTTTTTTTGGTTGAATATGGGTTGGGCTGGGCCGGGCTGGGTTTACCCGTTTTGCCAACCTAAGTGTAACTGGTAGAGAACGTGGCGGTGAGAGTAAGAAAGAGGTGCTCCGATGGTGGTTCTTGGGTTAGGAAGAAAGGAGTTTTTAAAATGAATTGGAATAAGGGGGAAATAGGAAAATTGATTTAAAAATAAAGCAAGCATTTATTTTATGGTCATACTCGCTTAAGCGAGTAGGCCAGTGAGTTGCAACAAAATTAAACTGAGATTATGTTTCCTCGCTAACCTGCTCGCTTGAGTGAACAAGGTTAGTGAGTTGCAGAAATTAAGTATCAAGCTCATTAAGTATCTCACTTGAGTGAGCAAACTCAGCAAGCATGAGTTAAAAACCATAATA